CTGCTGGCCAGGGCAGTCAGCTCCAGCCTCAACACCAAGTCAGCAAACAGGATTTTACAAAGAAAAGGAAAAAAAAAAAAAAAAAAAAAACAAATTAAATTAAGAATGTGCAGAATACAAAGTCAGCTCTGAACATACATCTTTAATTATTGCCTTTCTTAATAGCAAACATGTGGATGGCTGTTCTGCAACAGAAGGGTTACCTAGTGGTCAGTAAAAATAATGCTAATGGGGGACCAGGGAGCTGGAATTCAACTTTCTGAAATAAGGTACTTTTTTTCCTTGATATGAACTACTTCTTTCTAAGTGGCACAGCTAGAACATCTAAAAATTGACGTTAAGTTTACTTTAAATCATGTAATAAGACTGCAGTTTTAATTTATATTTCCCTACCCACATATAAAATTTCCAGGGTTCCAATGCATGGCCCATTAACCATCTGGAGGTAGAGTTAGAATACTGTTTTGTGTTCTAGCTAAACATCAGAGAAGCTGTATAGAGCTGTGGTGAATACATTTCATGGGGCGCCTGGGTGGCTCAGTCTAACTCTTGAGTTCGGCTCAGGTCATGATCTCATGGTTTGTGAGATGGGCCCCACTTCGGGCTCTGCGCTGACAGGGTGAAAAGCCTACTTGGGATTCTCTCTTTGCCCCTCTCTGACTCACATGCACTCTCACTCCCTTGAGCTCTCTCTCTCAAAATAAATAAATAAGCTTAAAAAATATATATATGGTTTCATAAGCCAGAATGCCTCGTTCAAATCCTGGGTCTACTGCTCCTTAGCTGTGTGATCTCAGGCAAGTTACTTAACTTGTCTGTGCTACAGTATCCTCATCTGTAAAAGTATTAACCCTCTCTGTCCTCAGCTGGAAAAAGAAAATAATAAATAATATGTGCACCTCACTGAGGTCTTGTAAGAAGTAAATAAGTTAAGGCATATGAAGTGTTTAGGGCAATGCTTAGCACTCATTAAAGGACTACATTAATCGAGAAGCACTAAAGTATCCATCTTTTGTTGGGCATCTAAGATAAAAATCACATATCTGAAGGTTTTTTTAATCAACTATTTAACAAACTAATGTCTTTTCTATAACATATTTAATAATGTCAAATATGCTATTTCTATAGTCTTTGTAACAGAGGAAAAAGAAGAGAAAGAGAAAAAAAAGAAAGGAAAAAAAAGTAAATCATATTCTTTGAAGAATACTATTCAAATAGATTCCTAACACACATGTAAAAGAAAAATACTTGTTTTTATTATTACGGAGGAAGTTTAAGGTAAAGAAAAACAAGTATATGGCCATCCTTTCATTCACTAGAATATGCTATTGTCATATCTATTAAAATGCAATAAACCTTGACTTAACACAAAACAAACCTAGAAAAATAAACCATCATATATGCCTCATTCTATTTCCTGACAGATCTCAAAGAGAAATGGAAATTTACAATCTTTCCAAAAATCCTCTGCAGGTACAATATAATAAGCTGGTTTCTTTTTTTCTTTGACAAGTAAGTGCAAGTCGGGACATGGCCCCATTTATTCACCATGTTCAGAACTAGAGGCTTTTCAGTCATTTTGCTGAGACTTGCTCTTTATTCAAGGAGAGTTACACATTTCGCTTTCAAACATCTGGGCTCGCATGGGAATTTGGAGAATGCTGAGGCTACAAGAATTGTGTGCCTGGTGCTGGTCCTTAATTCTTTCTAGTTTGCTTTTCTTTTTGCTTTGGCTCTAAGTAGATCTAAATATTTTTAATTCATTCTATGAGAGAAACCAATTTAAAACCAAATGACCATATTTCAAACTCAAATAATTCATACCCAGAATGAATATTTATCACTCTTTTACAGTGACTGCTTAATGTTTTCGTTAAGATGAACTGAAAAGCAGAGAATTTGTGTTCAATTGTAAAGAAAGAAATGAAAATTTAAAACCTGAATTTTTTTACTAGGTAAATAACTAGGATGTTAGACAAACATTCAAGGGCTAGATCTGTATCGTACTGTTGATTCTTCAATGCAAACATTTGGTTCCCTAGGCTTCCCGATGTGCAGATGATCACAAGTGATGTTTTACAACCCACGAAGATAGATAAATAAGTAACTACATTTACGGGCACTTAAAACCAACACAATCCAACACACATCACTACTCAATATATTTGATGGAAGATAAAGCTATTAACAGCTATATTTTAAATGTTTTCTATGAAAGGAAAGCATTAACAGCCTGTATATGCTTTCACACACATTCATTCCAGGATCTGGCAAGCACCTGTATAATGCCACAGAGGTGAGACAAGTAACACGTTTAGGAAAACTCGCTTCTAACAGGCCCACTTCCTAATGGAATCCAAAGGAGAACAGTATTTCGTTCGCTAATTTTGACAATTGATACATTTCTTACAAAATCCAAATAATTAGGACTCAACCCTAAGGAAGGGGGTCCTCACCTGCTGTATACGCAGAAGCCGTAGTCATGGTCTTCCTCAAGGGCGTGACCGTAGCTGCTTTTTCAGCTTCCAGCTCAGCCACTGTCTTCGGTTTTACTGGGGCACCTTGAGGAATATTTTTCGGAGTGGGAGCGGGGAAAATCACTTCTCCATCCTAACAGAAATTAGAAAAACAATGTTAAAAGTCAATCCAGCATTTCAAAAACACAGAAGATAGTGACAGTGCTGGGGGGGCGGGGGGAAACAGCTGTTCTTTTAAATATAATTTTTCTGGGCCTCCTGGGTGGCTCAGTCGGCCAAGTGTCTGACTTCAGCTCATGTCATGGTCTCATGGTCGGCGGGTTTGAGCCTCACGTCAGGCTCTGTGCTGACAGCTCAGAGCCTGGAGACCTCTTCAGATTCTACGTCCTTCTCTCTGTCCCTTCCCTTGCTCGTGCTTTGTCTCTCTCAAAAATAAACAAACATTAAAGAAAATTAAATACAATTTTTCTTTTAAGATTTTTTTTTTTTTTATTTTAGAGAGAGAAAGAACACAAGCACACGTGTCAGCAGGAGAGGGGCAGAGGGAGGAAGAGAGAATCCCAAGCAGGCTCTACACCCAGCAGGCAGCCCAACTCAGGGCTCAATTCCGCATCCTTGGGACCACAACCTGAGCCAAAATCAAGAGTCAGATAGATGCTCAACTTCCTGAACCTCCCAGGTGCCCCTAAAGATTTTATTTTAAGTTATCTCTACACACAACACATACATTTGTAATGAAAATGCAGGAAGGATTGGGTCTCTTACCTTCATCACTACAGTTCCTCTAATGACATGACCCATTGTACCAAAGTCAAAGTCGTCTTTCACTTCAAAATAAAAGTTATCTTTGTCAGGGCTGATGGCCTTCAGGAGCTTGGTGATGTTGTTGGAATAGAGGGTGCTGGCCTGAGTGGCCATTCGGCTGGGAAGGTCTGTGTAGCCGATGTGAGTAACTCCCTACGTGAACAAAAATATATAGTCTGAAAGGTCTAATCTGGTCTGTTCACCTTCCTGCTAGGACAATACGCAGTCATAGCCAAGGCTAAGCTGTGAAATTATGATCTTTGTAAATATGCACACATCTCACAAACAAACAGTATATTTCAAAAAGAGCTTTAAATGTGCCTATTGTTAATTTTAAAAAATTTCAGGCCTCAGTTTCTCTGAACACTTTGAGCTTTGAGGCATAAATACTCTCTTGCAAGTCACTATGGTGAGCCATGGGACATTGTCCACAGAGAGAAGCAGCTGTTTCCTATACCTTGTGAACGTAAAGTTCTCCTGGCTTCGTGGTTTCAAAGTTTCCGCCAGCCTCAGCAGCTAAATCCACAACAACTGAACCTTCCTTCATTGACTCAATCATTTCTTTACTAAATAAAACTGGGGCTTTTTTACCTAATAAAATGGAAAGAAAACAGAACAAATTACATTATACTTTTTTAAACTCTATTTTCTAATTATTACAGTAGTCTCTGGAGGCTCAAAAATGTAACATCTGAAATTTAACTCTTTCAAGAGACCCAAAAGTCTATACACAGGTGGAAATGGTCATCCTCTTCAGGAAGAAATATGGTCAGTACAAACTGCAAAGCCGATATGCGGGAGGGAGACGTGTGGCTAATAAGCCAGCCTTTCCGTTTACTTACTCAGCATGGAAATCTCAGCACGGCTCTTCCCCACTGATTTACATTCAGCACCACTCATGAAGACATAACCATTTGCCTGGGTTTTTTTTTTTTAATGCATACTAAGCTATTAAGGAAACTATGTGCACCTGAACTGGACAATCCATAAGGATCACAAAAGTCAAGGGGAATACTCACTAGCAATTTACCAAATTAAAAAATGGAATATTTTCAAACATCTTAACAAACCTCACCAGATTTTCCAACATGTTAAATTAATCTACCTTCATTTAACACAGGATAACTTCAGGGAGTGACAGAGAAATGCCATGAAATGAAAACAATAGGAAATGCCAACCTGGGATTGGGGTTGGAAATCACTCATACACTTTTATTTCCCCCCAACCCTATTTATTCTGCCTCTGATGAGTCAAGCCCTATACCTGGTGCTCAGAATATACTGGTAGGTAAACAGAAAAGATCCCTGTTCTTATGGAACACTCTAGTTATGACACAGTTCACATTTTAAATTCATTCACTAATTCTTACATAGAAGATAAAGCACCAACCTAACGTATTAGTATGTTCAAAGGGGGCCCACAATGTCAGTATATTACCGTGTTCAAGTTTCATAAAACAATAAATACCTAAGCCAAAAGACAAAGGACATAAACTTGTGAGATTGGTAGTAGGAAAGTAGAGTTAATAGCCTAATTATCTTTATCTTCTCCTCTTTTAGTAAGTTTTCAACTCTGTGTTTACAGAATTTAGTAAAAGTACTATCAATTTTATAAATGAAAATTAATTTCAAATGAAATTTCCATTATAATAATAATCTGTTTTTCAATCTTCTTGATTGGAACACATATGGGTTTAAAAAAAGAAAACTAGGTGCTCGAGGTGAGCGGAGCCAGAGTCGAGACCAGAAGCCGAGCTCGGGATCTGACAAGATGGCCGGGCTGCCCCGCAGGATTATCAAGGAAACCCAGCATTTGCTGGCGGAACCAGTTCCTCGCATTAAAGCAGAACCTGACAAAAGCAACGCCCATTATTTTCATGTGGTCATTGCTGGCCCCCAGGATTCCCCCTTTGAGGGAGGGACTTTTAAACGTCAACTATTCCTTCCAGAAGAATATCCAATGGCAGCCCCTAAAGTATGTTTCATGAGCAAAATTTATCATGCTAATGTAGACAAGTTGGGAAGAGTATGTTTAGATACTTTGAAAGATAAGTGGTCCCCAGCACTGCAGATTCGCACAGTTCTGCTATCGATCCAGGCATTGTTAAGTGCTCCCAATCCAGATGATCCATTAGCAAATGATATAGCAGAGCAGTGGAAGACCAACGAAGCCCAAGCAACAGAAGCGGCTAGAGCATGGATAGGCTATATGCCATGAATAATATTTAAAATCGATCTGATCATCAAGTGTGCATCACTTCTCCTGTTCTGCCAAGACTTCTTCCTTTTTTGTTTGCATTTAATGGACACAGTCTTAGAAACATTACAGAATAAAAGCCCAGACATCTTCAGTCCTTTGGTGATTAAATGCACATTAGCAAATCTATGTCTTGTCCTGATTCACTGTTGTAAAGCATGAGCAGAGGCTAGAAGTACCATCTGGATTGTTGTGAAACGTTTAAAAGCAGTGGCCCCTCTCTGCTTTTATTCATTTCCCCAAGAGTGGTTAAAGTATAAAGCACTGTGGATGAAGGTAGTGGTCAGGGTTAGCTGCAAGGGGTGTGGGTGTTTTCTCTTTATTATCTTTTTTTTGGTGGGGGGGGGGTGGAGAGGTAGTTTTAATTTTATGGGCTCCTTTCCCCCTTTTTATGGTGATCTAATTGCATTGGATAAAAGCATCTAACCAGTTCTTTAGAATATGCTCTCTAGCCAAGTCTAAGTTTATTTAGATGCTGTAGATGGACAAGCTTGATTGTTTGAACCAAAATGGGAACATTAAACAGACATCACAGCTCTCACTAATAACATTGTGACTTTGCTGTCAAATACAGAATCCTTCCTTCAAAAAAAGCTTGTGACCATTTTGTATGGCTTATCTGGAAACTTCTGTAAATCTTATGTTATAGTAAAATATTTTTTGTTATTCTACTTTGCACAGTTTATTTTACTGTGTCTCATTTTCTCAATGTGACAATCGTATTTAAAAATTAAAACTGATGGAACATTCTGTTTTGGTCTTCACCATCTGACAAGTCGAATGACAAGAGGTGGATTTTGCCTGTTTCTTTTCACCGATGCAAACTTGTGTTAAGATATCACTGAATGGAGTATTTATAAGCTGGCCCTGAGCATGCATAAAGCATTGGTATCTGATATTTTTTTACCTCCTAGAAATTTGAAATATGTGTTGTCTGATTAGATGATCATTAGTGTCTTGCCATGATGTCTGAAAATTACTGTACAGGAGAGTCACAGCAAAGCAGCCGTTGTGACTGGCTTTGTGTAGGACTCACATGTTGTGCCACACTTGTTTGTCTGGCATTTCGGGTATGACCTCTTTCTTAGTTTTTGTCTGAAAACTCCGTGTGTGACCACTGGTGTATGATACTATTAGGAAACACCAATCTGATAACCATCTGGGGTTTGCGGAGACATTTATGAGTCTTCCTTGTAGACCTCACGAGCAGACCTCAAGCAACCAGCTTGCATAAGTGTCATCCGAAAGGTTTCTTCCTTTGTGAACATCAGATCCTCAGTTCATGATTCTTATTTTCATCCTTCAGTATTTGCTCTGAGAGCTATTGCTTGATATTCAGTAATTTTGTCTGCATTGATAGAGTTCCTCCCCTCAGAAAAACTGTTCTTTCCCACCCGTTTCCGTATCTAATTTCTGATCCTTGTTATTTTTAAGACATCAGTGTAGCCAGTCCTAAGTATGTAAATATTAACCTGTGGGTTGGAACCTTTGTCTTGCAATTTAAGGTAATGGATATTGTAGCCCATCTGAGTTTCCCCTACTCTTTATTCTCATAACGTCTGGAGTTTCTTCAGAATGTGGTGTATTCTGTTGTGCTTCTATGTAAGATGAAGACTTATCTATTAAAATTACATTTCGACATAAAAAAAATAAAAGAAAAAAGAAAAAGAAATATTTGTGGCACATGTGGGGGAAAAAAGCTGAAAAGATAACAAATCGGTATTTATATAGTACCTCCCTCTTTCTCAATGCCAACTTTATACTTCCAAGATAAAGTCCAAATTCTAAGCCTCCTATTACTGAAGGCCTTCCTCCCTGGGTCTAATCACTCTTTCTCACATTCTCTCTCATTACCGCCCCACTGGACCTTCTGCTCCAGCCACACAGGGGTAGCTAGCTGCCACACAGTTTGTCGGATAATCTTTTGAGTTTCCAAGAAAGAGCAAGAATAAGGAGATATTTTCCCCAAAGACAATACTCTGACATTCTGGTGGTTTCATCATTTCTCAAAATTCTCTGGAAATACTCCTTTCATCTACTCTCCCCACTACAGTCCAACAAAAGCTTGAATATTTAAACTTTATTAAACATAACAATCTGGGGATGCAAACCACATACATTTGAGGACTCCTCCCCACCCCCAAAAAAAGGTTATGCTGCTCAGCTCTGCAGTAATTTAAAGCTACAGATCATATAGGTGCATCCACATAAAGTGGCAAATTTAAAGCGCTAATGTGTGCTTTCTAGGTATTTACCATCATCCCCCTTCCTCTTCTCTACTCCAGAGCCTCTTTTCCATTAACCAGCCTCTTGTTTGCTACAGCTTTTCCTCACACCTTACCTGTACCCTCCAGTCTCAGATTGATGTGCCTTTAACTGCAATTTGGATCCGGGCCCACCCCCTTTGACTTCTAACTGCACTAACTGTATAGCCATCAACTTCACAAATTTGATTTGGCATCTAATTAATTCCTCCTGCCTTAAAAATTCTGGATTCCTTCTTTTTAAGGATCAATTCCAGGACTGTAACCCTACTGACTTTACAAGACCTCAAGTGGCCAAAACCATTTAGGCTCCCTAGAAAACATCCTATATATTACCTATTTGTCTTTGATTTTACTCACTCAACCTTCACAAAACAATTATGCAGTGGCTGACACAACTTTAATGCGCACACACATACGTACACACTGGCATCTTAACAAAAATAATAAATATTCTGTCCATATTGTCACTCTGAAATTCAATCACTTTTGAAAGGATAAGATATTCTTTCACATAATTTATTTAGTGTATAGTCAAATAACTAGAGGATGAGTTAAAATTTAAGTCACAGAGGAATATTTAAGATACGTTAAATTATTACAGATAAAAAGCACACAACAAAATAGTATGTATATACTACTGCCATTTGGTAAAAAAATTTCACATACATATTATGAGTGTTTGTATGTATTTTTATATATACATATACTATACTACATATCTTATATAGTTTCTAGTACATTCTATATAGCATAACATTTAACCATACCAGGGTATCTTTAAATGCTAAGAATATTTTCTTCTTTGTGCTTTTCCTTATCTCACAAATCTTCTATAAGAGCTAGTTTTAATTTGGGCACCTGGGTGGCTCAGTGGGTTAAGTGCCCAACTCTTCAATTGGGCTCAGGTCATGATCTTGCAGTTAGTAAGCTTGAGCCCCACACTGGGCCCTGTGCTGATGGCACAGAGCCTGTTTGGGATTCTCTCTCTCTTCCCTCTTTCTGCTCCTCGCCTGCTCATGCTCTCTCTCAAAATAAATAAATAAAACAAATTTAAGAGCTAGTTTTAATTTTATAATTTAAAAAATCAATAAAGGCTACAGGGAATACAATGATGAATAGAACAGTACAGCTGGCTTTTAAGCATTCACATGTGGATTAATTTTTTTTTTAATTCTGGAAGTGTAGAAATGAAAATTGAAAACAGAAGGGGAAAAAATAGAGCCAAAAGAGGAGCAGGGTAATACATAAAAGTTCCAAATGAGAAAATCCTCAAAAGAATAGTTCAAGAGGAGGAAAGACTGAGAAGGAAATTTCAAAATACTATCTTACCCTGATGTCCTCCTAGGGCAAAAATGTAATACATGATAATGTGGTATCACAAAAATGGAAGCAACAAAAGGAATAAGATGATTAGTTAGGTATGGAGGGGTGAATCTACTACCGGACTTCAAATTAAACTTTAAACTCTATACATCAGAATGAATTATAAAAAAATCAACCCTTGGGGTACCTGGGTGGCTCAGTAGGAAGAGCACAAGACTGTTGATCTTGGGGTCATGAGTTTGAGCCCCACACTGGGTATAGAGATCCCTCAAAACAAATAAAGTTTTTAAAAAAGAGAATCAACCCAAAAAGGAAGAGAGAAGAAAGAGAACCTTGGTGAATAGCCCTCTAGTCTTTGGATTAAAAAGTATTTTCTTGGGTGCCTTGGTGACTCAGTCACTTAAGCATCGGACTCTTGATATTGGCTCAGGTCATGATCTTGCAGATCATGGGATCAAGCCCCGTATCAGGCTCCCCTACCCATAGTACATAGCCTACTTGGGATTCTCTCTCTCCCTCTCTCTTCCCCTCCCCTGCCTGCATGCAAAGTGCTTACTCGTATTCTCTCTCTCTCTAACTAAAGAAATAAACTTTAAAATAAAGTATTTCCTAAAGCAATTGGGAAAACAATAGATTTAAGTATGAAAAAAGTACATATTATCGTCCTCAAAAATAAATATGACAAAAAATATATTAAAAAGCTCACAGAAATTTAAATAAAAACAAAACACAAAGATCCTAATAAATGAACAACAAATATAAACACTCAATTCTAAGAGAAATGGCAACAACTAAATTTTTGTTTTAAATGTTCACCCTCCTCTGGGTGCCTGGGTGGCTTAGTCGGTTGAGTGAATGATTCTTGGTTTTGGCTCAGGTCACAATCTCGCCATTTGTGAGTTCAAGCTCCACTTGAGTTTAGCGCTGACAGTGTGGAGCCTGCTTGGGATTCTCTCTCTGTCCTCACTTTCTGCCTCTCCCCTGTTTGCATGCTCTCTCTTTCACTCTCTCTCTCTCTCAAAATAAATAAATAAACTTAAAAAAAATGTTCACCTTCATAATGAATCAAAGAAATGTTGAGTTACAAAAAGTGAGATACTTTTTTTTCTTTGCCTCTAAAACTGAAAGAGTCAAAAATTAATAATAGGGGCACCTGGCTGGCTCACTCAGAATATGCAACTCAGGATTTTGGGGTTATAAGTTCAAGTCCCATGTTAGGTGTAAAGATTACTTAAAAATAAAATCTTTTAAAAAAATCATAATGTTGAGGGGCGCCTGGGTGGCTCGGTCAGTTAAGCATCCGACTTCGGCTCAGGTCATGATCTCTCGGTCCGAGAGCTCGAGCCCCGCGTCGGGCTCTGTGCTGACAGCTCAGAGCCTGGAGCCTGTTTCAGATTCTGTGTCTCCCTCTCTCTCTGCCCCTCCCCTGTTCATGCTCTGTCTCTCTCTGTCTCAAAAATAAATAAACGTTAAAAAAAATTAAAAAAAAAATCATAATGTTGAAATGAAACAAGTAGCAGGATGATCTATTTATGAGAT